AATATTGATATTTTAATACAAATTTTGTAAAAGTGAATCAAATTATTACGTGTACAAAAACATTTGTTACGCGTAAAAAACTATATTTATTATTTTACGCGAATAAAACTGTCACACATAAATAACTATTTTTTACGCGCATAAAACTATTTGTTACTGGTAGAAAACTATTTTTTACGCGTATAAAACTATTTGTTACGTGTAAAAATCTATTTGTTACACGTAAAAAACTATTTTTTACTCGTCAAAAGCGTCAAAAACTTATTGTTTCTGGTAGAAAACTTTTTTTACGCAAAAAAAAAACTACGTGTAAAAAACTATTTGTTACACGTAAAAAACTAATTTTTACGCTTCGAAAACTTATTGTTTCTGGTAAAAAAACATTTTTACCAAAAAAAAAAATATTTTTTACCTGTAAAAAACTATTTGTTACACGTAAAAAATTATTTTTTTACTCGCCAAAAACTTAATAGAGAACAACGGCATACGGTCGAGTCGGCCTACAAACACGTAAACGTTTACGTACGCATGCGCATTTCTTATATCTTTTATTTTTTATACACGTAAAAGATGCTTTACGTCTACGTATACGTGCCAGCAGCGGCCGACTTGACCGTATGCCGTTGTTCTCTATTGTTTCTGGTAAAAAACCTTTTGATGCGCAAAAAAAAATTACGTGTAAATATCTATTTGTTACACGTAAAAAACTATTTTTACGCGTCAAACGCGTCAAAAACTTATTGTTTCTGGTAGAAAACCTTTCTTACGCAAAAAAAACTACGTGTAAAAAACTATTTTTTACGTTTCGAAAACTTATTGTTTCTGGTAAAAAAACATTTTTACCAAAAAAAAAATATTTTTTACCTGTAAAAAACTATTTGTTACACGTAAAAATTATTTTTTTACGCGTCGAAAACTTATTGTTTCTAGTAAAAAACTCTTTTACCCAAAAAAAAAATTACGTGTAAAAAAACTATTTGTTACACGTAAAAAACTATTTTTTATGCGTCAAAAACTATTTGATTCTGTTAAAAAAAACCTTTTACGCAGAAAAAAAACACTTTTTACGCATTAGAAAACTATTTTTTACCCGTAAGAAAATATTAAAAAGCGTATTCTTTATAAAAATGTTTGTTTGTTCTAAAACGGTTAATCCCGTTTATACCTTTCCAGATTTCCATATCGTTTTAGAGAAAATTAAAAAAAAACATGGAAGTTTAGTTGAATTTTTGAAGTCCTAAAGCTTAATTCAGAACCTCGCAATTAGCGGAATAAATTAGTGGTTCCAATTAGGAATTAGCGTAGAAATTTGTTCTTTTAATTTCAATGTAAGCATTCAGAACGTCTAAATTAGTGGTAGTCATTTTCAATTAGTAGAAAAAGTTAACACACTTTTGACTTTTCCACAAATTTTACTTCAAAATTTGCGGGGAATGTCATTATTTTGACCTTTGATTATCATTTGTCAAGAGAAATTGTGGTTAGAAATGAAAAGTTTATTGTGTTATAAGCTAAATATTTAAGCTTCCTCTATGGATACAACTGACTACCGCAAGCTGTTGCTAGGATATTCTATTAATTTTAATTGTATTTTTTAGACATTGTGAATGATTGTAAACTAAAAAGTATAAAGTGTAATTGAAACCACTAATTTATTTCACTAATTGCGAGGTTCTGAATGAAGCTTTACACTTTATACTTTTTAGTTTACGATCATTCAAAATATCTAAAAAAACACAATTAAAATTAATAGAATATCCTAGCTTGCGATAGCAAGCGGTAGTCAGTCATATCCATATAGATTAATGTGTAGCTTATAAAACAATAAATTTTTAATTTCTAAGAAATATTTTTCTTGACGGATGAAAACCAAAATGACGTTACTCGCAAAGTAAACTTAGAGGAAAAGTGAAAGGTTTGTTAACTTTTTCTACTAATTGAAAATCCAGTGGCGGCTCGTCAGGTGCAGTAGGTGAAGGGGGCCGAAGGGGCACTTCACCGAAGAAATACAAAAATTAAAGAAAAAACTTTACTGCTTAAATTATTAATTTAGTTTAATATATTTACATGCATCTAAATAATGGTAATTTTTTATGTTATTTATTTTTTTCCGGGCGGACCTCTGCATAATAGGTCCACCGCATCGTTAATTCCGGCCGAAAAAGTAGCATTATAGACCCGCACGCGCCTAGAAGCCAGAAGTGCAAGTGAAAATGTTTCTATTTCTGAGCCAAGCGGCTGCACGGTTTCCATGGTAACGTGACGTCAGCCTAGCGGCAGATGTAAATCCCCCCGCCCCGAAGTTTATTAGCGACGACCGATGTGAATGAGTTTTTGGTTTTGGGCAGTTCGCTTCATTCTCTTCGTCTTCCTTTTGTTCAGGAAATGCGTGACAGCGCGGGCAACGCATAATTTATGCATTTATGTTAATATTCGGCTACTTCGGCGAGTAATTAACCGTGTAAAGCTGTAAAGTTGTTGTTGTTTGTTAATGGCTTTTGTTGATTTAACTTGTTAATTTTTGCCGATTTTTACTGTTTGTTTTCTTGTTGTGTTTTAAAACTGTTTTGTGTGTGTGTATGTGTTAAAAAATGAACTCAATTAATGACTTGGTGTGCAATTTATTGCAAACTCCCTTCAGACGATAAGAGGGATGTTTTATCTCAAGGGCGACCAACTGAAACTTTAACCATAAATTGCAAAAAAGAAATAAGAAAAAGTGGTAAATCTTATAATATTAAATTTAAGTCTTCCTGGTTTTCTGATTTTAATTGGCTATGTAGTAGTATTGTTTTACAAAAATTATTTCGTTGTTCGTGTTTACTAATTTCTAATAAACATGGCATTTGGAATAAAGAAGGGTTCACTGATTTCGTAAATATAACAAGATCTTTGCATAAACACGGGGATTCTGCAGAACATATAAAATGTCAGTTAATGCTAAGAAATTAAAAAAAAAATTAAAATACAATAGCCGATGCTTTAGAAAAAAACGTTAGACTCTATAAGCTTAATTTTAATAAAAATGTTATTCGTTTAAATTGGCTTTAATGTGTGAATATAATTAATTAATTAAATGACGATATTACTGATAAGTTTGCATCAACAAAGAACAGAAAAATTGAGCTGATTTACAAAAATTAGTAAGGTTAGTAATATAAATAAGTCAAATTTATTTTGGTTAATATTGCTTAGTAAAAATTAATGTAATAATTGAATAATAATTGAATGGCTCCTCGGTTGTAACCAACAATTTTTTCAATACCGAAATTTCAGTGAAAAACCCGAGGAAAAAACGCTATACCTATGAAAATTACAACTTTATTTCACTGAAATCTCTATTTTGAAAAAAATTTGAATACAATGTTTTTCGGGGAAGCCATTCAATAATTACAGTGTTCGACATAAAGTTGGATCCATATGGACGGTTTTTTTTGGTACAGAGTTAAAAAAAACTTTTTGTGGCTATCAATTGTGCTTTAAAAACAACTTAAAATGCATCAAGTCAAAGTTGAAACATAATTTTGTTAGTCACTTTTAACCAATTTTTAAAAATTTCTTTTAAATATTTTGCATTTGACAGTTCCCAGATGTTAGCTGTCAACTTTGGCTTGGTGCATTTTAAGTTATTTTCAAAGCAGAAGTGATTGCCACAAAAAGATTTTTTAAAACTCTAATATAAAAAAACATCCATATGGATCCAACTTTATGGTGGACACTGTATATAATGTTTATTATATTTAATTTAAATTTAATTATATTTTCACTGGAATGCAAAATAATGTGTTTATCGAGAACTGGTTGTATCTCTTTTTACTTAATGCGTTTTAGCCCAAACTAAAACGAAAATATTATATAGGGAAATTAAAATAACTTTGGGTGCACATCATAATACGACCACCAACAAACTCCATAAGACGACGCATGGTGTCATCGATGACGTGCAACGAAAGTTAACAAAAATATAAATATAATAAATAATAACAAAAAAAATGTTGACAAAATGGTGAATGCAGCACAAAATTTTCAAATAATATTTAAAAAAATGTTGACAAAATGGTGAATGCGCCAAAAAAATGTTCGCCTCCGGCGCAATTTAAAAAATATTAACTCATCTTCGCCTAATTTTTTACCCACGAGCCGGCACTGGACTACAACTAATTTTGACGTACTGATTGCTTACATTGAAATAAGAGGAACAAACTTCTGCGCTAATTGAAACCATTAATTTATTCCACTAATTTAGAGGTTCTGAATGAAGCTTTAAGGTTCATTCTGGAATAAATTAGTGGTTTCAATTAGCGTAGAAGTTTATTCCTTTAATTTCAATGTAAACATTCAGAACGTCAAAATAGTTTAATAGTAAAAATAGTAAAAAAGTATAAAAACTCTAAAAAGGGTATAAAAATTTGGAAAAATATAAACGGAATGCAGAACAAGCAAAACAAAAACAAAGAACAAAAAAAAGCATTTTAGAACAAGCAAAAATTTTTAATATATAATGCATTTTTCTCAAATTGTTAATAATAAAAAGGTTTTTCTTCTCGTAAATGCAATCCAGGAACATACTGTATAGTGCGTGTATTGCCTTTCATCAGCAGAGTTTTAACATAATATTGACGTTACTACAGGAAAATGAGGGACAAATAAAAATGTGTAGAATAAATATGTTTTCATTTTTTGTGTTTTGTTTTAAATTTGATTCCAATTATTAGAATTATGCATATTTTATTACTTATTGTTTACTTTCCACTAGATATATTTTTTCTTTTTTTACATTGGAGGATATAAAAGTAACCTCTGCTTTTTTCATGTAAATACCTATAATTGGAATGAGATTAGCATGTATATTATTGATTATTGTAATCATAAATTGTAATCATCCCAAAATTTTAAATTCAGTACATTTTTTTCGCAATTCAGTACATTTAAAAAGAGGTTGTACAATTTTAAAAAACCGTGCGGCAACACTGCATGTCATGTCAATATTGTCATTTCATTTCATTTCTGTTAATTCGCGCCATTTGTTTTCCCGGTTTCCTGTCTTTTGTTTAGAAACAGGTTAATCTATTCTGACAAACAAAAATTATTGAAAGTATATAATTCTAATTAATTTTAACAAAATTACCTAGTACTATGTCGTCTGAGCCCACCGAACCAAACAACGAAATTAACCCAGATGAATCTCAATTGGAAGAAAGTACTGAAGAAACTGCGGACGCAGATGATTCAGCAGGAGTCGTTACTCTCACTTTAAATGATGTCTTGGAATTAGAAGACGAACTTATAGAAACTACTGGTGCAATTCTTGGAGCTGCAAATGATAAGGCTTGCTCATATACAGAGGTAACAATTATTACAAAATTAAATTTAGAACATTTAAAAAGAAGGTGAAAAGAATTCAGTTTACAGTTGGTTTATTAATTTATAGGGATATTTAAAACGCCAAGCTTTGTACTCATGTTTAACATGTATACCGGAGGCAAAGGATGATCCTGAGAAAGGCGCTGGAGTTTGCCTAGCTTGTAGTTATCATTGCCATGATGGGCACGAATTGATAGAACTTTACACAAAACGGAACTTCCGTTGTGATTGTGGCAATAATAAATTTGCCGTTTCCAAAAATAAATGTAATTTATGTGAGGACAAAGCATCTGAAAATGATCTTAATGTCTACAATCAAAATTTCTCTGGAACTTACTGCGTTTGTCACCGACCCTATCCTGATGTCGAAGATCCAGTTCCTGATGAGATGATTCAGTGTATTATTTGTGAAGACTGGTATCATTCCAGACATTTGGGAGTTGAAGTGCCAAGTGATAATTTTGCAGGTATTTTCATATGATATATTTTAACTCTGTCGTGCTTATTTTCCTGCATTTTATTTTTCTAGAAATGACTTGTGAACTATGTATTACTAAACATGAATTTCTTCTTCATTATGATGATTTAACAACTAATAAAAGCAAGAAAACGACAGATGAAACTGCAGAAGTAAATGTAACTGAGACAAATAATGATGATGATTCTTCAATGCCACCAGATTGTAAAATGCCAAAGACAAAATCAGAGAGATCAACTGCTAGATTTTGGGTGGATGTAAGTATTTACCTAAATGTGGTGTAGTTTTTCATTTTTTCTATTCTAATTTCCACTACAATGTTATCGCACATATACAGTATGTCCTCGGATTGTCTTTACAAGAGTAAAATACTTTTTTATTATTAACATTTTAAGAAAAATGCATTCTTCATAAAAACATTTTGCTTGTTCTAAAATGGTTAATCCTCTTTATAATAATAGTACCTAATATCTCCTGTATATAGCGTTTAATGCCTTGGGAGTAGCAAGGTACAGCTTGTCGTACTAGAGCCGTTCGGTATTCAAGATAGGTAATGTGGCTAGCACTACGTTTCAGCCGTCTATTATTACCAAAGGATTGTAAATCCCAAGTAGGTACTCATTTTAAGGCTGAGTCGACCTAGGTACCCAAACTATTTTTATTTTATTAAAAATAGTCGACTGATGAAATGCCGGCTGTGGGATGTTGTTTATACTTTCCTGTTTATACTTTTTTCAAATTTCCATACTGTTTTAGAGAAAATTAAGAAAAACATGAAAATATTGAATTTTTTCTTCCTAAAAATCAAAACGCGTTTTTATGGTAATATAATTTCATTTTCATAGAATTTTATACAAATACAAATACAAATAGTTTATTGGTGCTAAATATTAAATACAATACAATACAATACAATACAAATACAATTTTAATTAATGTCATGTTTTTTGTTGTTTTAAAATGTTAAAGAAGCACAAAATTTATTTAGTCAATGCTACGGAAAGGGTGACGATAGCTATCGGAAAATGTAATACCTTAACAACAGCAAAGAATATGACGTTAATCAATGAAATCAAATTGATATTACTAGACAGTATGTCCTCGGATTGTCTTTACAAGAGGAAAAACTTCTATTGACATTTTGAGAAAAATGCATTCTTCATAAAAATGTTTGTTCTAAAATGCTTAATCCCGTTTATACTTTCCCTAATTTCTGTATCGTTTTAGAGATAATTAAAAAAAAAACATGAAAATATAGTTGAATTTTTTCCTAAGTCCTAAAAATCAAAACGGGTTTCTATGATAATATAATTTCGTTTTTATTCATTGATAGATTTTTATTGATATACATTACATACGTCATATTTTTTGCTGTTTTAAAATTTTAAAGAAGCACAACATTTTTTTACTTATGCTATGGAAAGGGTAATAGAGTTCGGAAAATGTGAAACTTTAACAACAGCAAAAGATATGAAAATTAATAATAACCATCTATCAAAGAATGAAATCGAAATTATATTACCATAGAAACGCTTTTTGATTTTTAAGACTTTGAGAAAAAATTCAACTATTATTTCATTAACTATATACATATCAATCTCTTTTGACACATGTACCATACCATTGAGAAAAAAAGACATTAAAGATGGCTAGGAAATGACAATCGATGATAATTTTGGTGAGATCAAGTTCTAGACTTCATTAAGCTACACACACACTGGTGCGATCACGGCCGCGATCACGATCTCCACGCGGCCGCGGCCAAAAGTTACTGAAGAATACATATGCGCCGTTTCACATTGGCGCGATTGAGTTTTGGAGACCAAGCGGCCTGGCGGCGTTCTATTCTGCGGTGGCGATCAGATTCAAATGCTTGAGCGTGTTCAGCGGAGGGTCACTATGATTCCTTTGGAGATGAGGAATTTGCCATACGAGGATCGACTGCAAAGGCTTGGTCTAACAACTCTTCGTGAACGGAGAATTCGTGGCGATCCCATCGAGACATTCAAGATTACAAGTGGCTACTATGGATGCGTCATGAACATCTTCCATATCAGTGAAACGCACAACCTTAGGAGACATAACAAAAAATTGGATAAAGAACGCTGTAAAAAGCTCTTAAGGCGGAACTTTATTACAAATAGAGTAGTGTATATCTGGAACAGGCTCCAGTATGATACAGTGAATTCTACAAGTGTCAATACATTTAAGAATAGACTTGATGTGGAAATGAAGAGCTGGAACAACCTTTTTATTCACTACATGTGATCGTAAACTGTGATGTTAATTTTGATTTGTGATTTGTGTTTTTTAATTGAATGTACGCAGTGCATTATTTATTTATTTTTACAACTGTGATAGATAAATGTGATTATGTGATTCAATAGTCTCATCGGGTTTTACCCGCCTACTGTTGATTTTTGTAATAATAATAATAATAATAATAGTGTCATCAACAGGATTGATCCCAAAATCATTACATGATAGTCTGAAAGGCCTTGAACTTGCACCAAAACTTTATATACCCATTCAAAAAACAGTTATCCTCCACACATGTAATATTACACGACAAGTCTTAAATACACAACACACAAGCGTTGACGCATGACTTAAGTCCGCGACTACGTTAAATACCGGAAAGCCCGAGATTCAAGAACATAATAATAACTTGTCGAGTTTGATCGCGTGATCGACCCAACTGATAGGAATTTTCCGTTATTTTATGTGTTTTTTCTTGTTGCAATTTAGAAATGGAGTTAACAGAGCAGCCAATTAAGGCTGTAAAAATACACAAAATTCTATATGATTTATCCGATCCAAGTTACAAAAATAATAGAATTAAAAATAAAAATTTTGAGACAAAATTGGAGTTGCAGTTGGATTGGATAGTACATATGTATACATTTTTATTGTTTAAGTTTAAATATTGTAGGTAAATATTAAAGAATGTTTTTTTTTCGGTATACATAATTCACATTTTTAATTTGTACCCATGTATACCTACAGGATGGCGCACTACATATAGATACGGCGGTGAACGTGAACGCGTTGGTGTGTGCTAGAACGATCGCTCATGTTATCGCTGCCCTGATCGTGATCGTGATCGCAGCCGTGATCGCACCAGTGTGCGTGTAGCTTTATTTGGCCCATACTCTTCTTTATGTTTTAATGGCACTTACTGCAAGTTGGTCTTAAGAGGGTTGTAATTGTAATTTATTCTTATACAGGGTGGCGCACCTCATTCGCCTCGGTTGATTATACGAAAACGGAAAGACGTAGAAACAAAATATTTTATGGGTATATGTGGGAAGGCAATGTGCATAATTTAAAATTATTTTGAGATGTACAGGGTGTGTCAGAACAAAGATCAATACCAAAGTTATATTTTTTCTTATAGAACACCCGGTATTTTATTTCATTTTTGGATTTTTGGACATAAAATAAGGAATTTATTGTAAGAGTTTAATATGTTTAAAAGCTTTGGTTTTTGAAATATTTAAAGATATTTAAATATGCATGCTATAATAAAAAGTTTATTAACACCTTGTTCATTACTTTTCAGAATTAATTCTTGTGCTGCCTTTCAAGCTAGAGAAATAAACTTTACTAAAAAAATTGATTGCTTCCTTAAATGTATACAGGGGTATCAAAAATTGCTGGTCTATTTTAAATATTTATTTTACTTAAAAACTTCGTTATTTCAAATGCAGCACTATGTATTTTTTTAAATAAGTCGAAGCAGATTTAAATGCTCTTTCAAACTAAAATTAAAATTTAGTTCGTAAAAGTGCAATTTAAAAAAAAAGACTATGAAAATAGCCAAAAAAAAACGAGAATTAGTCACAAAGATTCAACAACAACACGATATTTAACGATATTATACAAAATAATGACTGACACTAGGATAATTGTCAAATAATAAAGGACAACATTGCTGAACACGGCGCAATGTGACCAACATCATAGCCATAATAAAATTCGGTTTAAACTAATTTTTGCAGCTTTAATCTAAATAAAAAATCTTACAATCATTTGCTCTATAAAGTAAAATGAAGAGCTGCTCGATATCTTAAATTATACAACAAATTTAAACATTTTTGCCAAAATTTAATTTAGTCAGATTTATGGACTTTAATGTCAATGTCGATATGATTGATGACGTGCTTCGGAAAATGTTTTGCGATTACAATATGTACTATACTATAGGGAAATTAAAATAACCTTTGGTTGCACATTATAATACGACCACCAGCAAACTCCATAAGACGACGCATGGTATCATTGATGACGTGCAACGAAAGTTGTTCCAATTTCCCTATAGGTGTGTGAAAAAGAAATGCTGCTGTTAAAAAATTATCATAAAAATATCAAAAAATCTGACTTAAGACTTAAATCTTTTTGACGGCTTAAGTCTTCTATAAAAAGACTTAAATTTTTTAATAACTTAAGTCTTTTCTAAAAAGACTTAATCTTTTTCTATTTCGGAATAAAGATTTAAGTCACAAATCATTTGGAAAAAGACTTAAATCTTAAGTCTTAAGTCAGATCTCGAAACATGACTTAAAATCAAATGACAAGTCATTATAATGATTTAAATCAAAGAGGACTTAATTTTTCTGTGATCTTGCAGCTCTGAGTATAATCAAGTCTTTTTGACAAGTTTTATGTCAATTTTTAGGATTCCGTACCCAATGTGTAAAAACGGGAACCCTATTATTATTATATCTGTCACAAAGATCTATCTTATGAACCGTTATAGCTAGACAGTTGAAATTTTCACAGATAATGTATCTATATTGCCGCTGTAAGAACAAATACTAAAAACAGAATTAAATAAATGTTTATAAATAAAAAAGTACCTTCACTAAACATTATCTTTTTAGTATAATGAGTAAATATTTTGACATATGTATGTATGTATCATAGATTTAGGAAGAACAGATATCACATTTTGCATTTTAACCCGATCAAACAATCGGAGGTTGACTACGTACTGTAAAAACCAACTGAGATAGAGAAGGCGACATTGCCACATCTCAAATTTGCGCCTATCTACTTAGTTTGATTTGCAGTGCGGATATCAATAAATCTCAATTTCTTAATTAAATTAATAGTTTACTTTTAAAGAAGCATGCGTAATAATATGTTATTAATCAGAGGATATTGGCGTTACTATTGAAGGACATGTTTACTGTTTAATGTGCTGAAACGTCTAGAACTATTGGCAACATCGCTGCTAGTCTTGCAGAATGAAATG